AGAACCAAGTTGCATGGGGTTAAGGCCGGGTTTTACTACTAACTAGCTTTGTGAACTTGGACAAATAGTGAGTTTTTGCACCTCAATTTCCGATTAATAACATAGACATACTACAGTCTAATGGGGATGAAGCTGGGAGAATTAAACAGCTTATTTTTTATTAAGTGCTTAAAACCTTGCCTGGCATGCATAGTAAGCTTCCTGGAAATATTAACTGTTTCCATACAGCCAATGAAAACCCTTCGTTGGGTTTAGAATCTCCATAGTGCAACCCAGCAGGCAGCCAGACGACTGAACTGAAGACCACAACCAACACTGCCTCTTGAATACATACTTGTTATGGACTGAATGTCTGTGTCTTCTCCAAATTTGTAAATTGAAACCTAATCCCCGATGTGGGGGTGTTAGGAGGAAAGGCCTTTGGGAAGTGATTAGGTCATAAAGATGGAGCTCTCATGAATGGGATTAGTGCCCTTGTGAAAGAGACCCCAGAGAGCTGCTTCGCTCTTCTGTCATGTGAGGACACAGGGAATAGGCTACTGTCTATAAAGCAGGAAGCAGATTCTAACCAGACACAGATTCTGCCAGAATCTTGGTCTTGAACTTCCCAGCCTCCATAACTGTGAAAAATAAATTTCTGTTGTTTATAAGCCACTCAGTCTATGGTATTCTGTTATAGTGGCCCAGATGACTAAGACAAAACTCAAGGATCACATTTACCAATATTGGAAACTTCTCGACAAATCTCAGGAATTCAAAACTTCTGAGAGACCAATAAGAGTATTCTAACACATGCTTCCTGGTTCATCAGAACAGCATAAATTTGGGTTAAAAAAATTATATTATGCTACTTCACTGGGTAACTTCATTCAAAGTCAGGCCACTTTCAGCTAAAACTTCCGTCAGAACGAATATGGCCTAGAGCAATGTTTATCAAGACAGAATCAGTCACAAAGTTTCTTTAGATCTATTTTAACTTCTCAGGTGCTCCTATAACCTCTGATCAATGATTTCCAAGGGCTGTGTTGTGCCTCCTGAGACAGTCCACGGCATGGTTAAAGTGATTATTAGTAAGTTCTCTAAACTAAACTTCACCTCTCTCTTTTGCTTTTTGGGGTTACACAAAGTAGTCGTTTGTATACATGATAATACTTAGAATATTCAAAGTCAGTTAAAGTAGATTTTCCTATGGGGCACCTGGGTGGCTCAGTGGGTTAAAGCCTCTACCTTCGACTCAGGTCATGATCCCAGGGTCCTGGGATAGAGCCAGCTCAGCAGGGAGCCTGCTTCCCCCACCCTCACCTCTGCCTGCCTCTGCCTACTTGTGATCTGTCAAATAAATAAATAAAATCTAAAAAAAAAAAAAAAGTAGATTCTCCCAGGGATTATGTACTTGAATCAACTTGTAAGGTAAAACTTTCTTATAATCAAATTTACTCATGAAAATCTTTTAAGTTGCTCTCAAAGTAAAATCCTATTAAAGCAGATTTTACCTCCACGGTTGGAAGATTGTTCTTTGGCTGATCTGTAAATGAAGTGGTTGGCTAGCAGTTAGGAGCCAGATCCTATGAAAAATACATTTGGCATAAATGTGTATCATTGAAATTATCCATACGATGTGACATTATGAAATATTTTATAGTGTTTTCCACTAAAAAAAAAAAAACACACACACACCCACTCATTATCTCCAACACACCAGACATTGTGTGAGGGTGGGGACTTGTCCAATATTCCTTACCAATAAATGTGGAAAAAGAGACAATTTTTTAACTGAATGGGGAAGCCACTCCTAAGACAAAACTGAGTTTTAAAGAAAAGATTAAGGAGAAAAAGTATAACATGAAAGTGATATTTTTCAGAGGAAAATAATCAGATATGACACAAACAACTCTACTTCTGAATCTTGAAAAATGAGTCCACAAAATGTCATTTTCCAACTTAACTTCTAATGTTATTCATGAAAATTTGACTCATCACTAAAGAACAATGGTTTGCAGTAAATTCCCAGAGTATTTATTTTTTAGGATTAACTTCCAGGAAACTCCAAACTGCCATTTATTTAGCAAAATATAGTTTTTCACTAGGACTAAATACAAAGATCCTTCAAGTGGGCTGTTCAATGTCCTTCTAAGATACATACTTCTCAGGAAAGAAGTCATTCTAGAAACAGAAATTAAACTTAGTCCTTCAGGTATATGGAAAAATATTTTATAAGTTGTCATAAAGCAAGAGTGACAATAAAAATCCCCAGCAGCAATGATAATTGGATCTTCCCAGGTGCACAATGGCAGAAAAGTACATCAAGTCTTCCCACATATCCTTTTGCCATCTGAATAGAGGTGAATTTTGTTAAAATAGAGATTAAAGTATTTATTTGGTGAGGAAATGAGCTCATTAATGACCAAAGCAAATGGATACTGAAGAAAATTTAAAAAGGGATTCCCATATGTTTAAGATCTGTCTGGGTTGGAACGGTTCAGGTTAGTTGGTGTGTGCGTGAACTATACATTTTTTTTTTTTTTTAATGTAGTGGTGAAGGTACTACCCCTTCTGTCCAAGTTGATTCCTCCAACACTGAAGCCAAACTACAGTTGTTTTGCCCAAAATTGGCAATTTGAAGTGCAGAAAATATTGTAGAAAAGCACTTAATCTTAAAATCTTGCTAGCTGCCATTTACTTCGTAACCCTGAAGAGCCATCAACCTTCATTCCCTTAACAACTTTAAGGGATAGGAAAGGGATCAAATAAATGGAAACTTCGAAAGGCACTGTTAACTATAAAACACTACACAGGTAAGAAGTATAAAGGGCTACAGCGATTTAGACAATTCAGAGAAAAAATGTAGTGTGAACCTTTTATTTTGACAAAACAAACTTTTACAAATTACACACTCTATAAACTCCCAAAGTTTCACTCATTTAAAAAATAAGAGACGAGGCATCCCAGACTCCCAAGATTTCAGTCATGAATAAAATAGTACCAGATTTTCAAGTTATATAAACTAGCTGCATTTTACACATCATGAAAGTGAAGAGAATTGTGACCAAACATTCACTAGTTTCAAGTGTACCTATAAGAAACACATGGACATACTTGGGTTGTCTATATCACACAGTTTTGTATCAACAAACATCTAAGTAATTGACATACTTATTTCCATTAACAGCAGACAACTCCATAAAATCAAATTACACATATCATTTGCTTTTAATAATCTCAATTTGGAAACTGAAAAAGAAGAGAAATGTAGAGTTTAAGTAGCTGAAAATGCTATACTCATTGCACACAAGCACATCATGACAAGGAATGCTAGAAGTGGTTCCTCTTAGGAATGATTTTTGAAAATTTAAAGTTAGATTTTATTGGAAGTTAAAATCTTTAGTGTGAAAAGCAGGTCAAACTGAAATACTGACTCAACCTCTAAAGATCCAGTAAATTATAGATTTTGTGCAATTAGTTACTAATATATATGTTTTGAGATTAATACCGACCTCAATAGAACATTTAGATGGTTCTGAAGTATCTACATTCCATTGTTCACTTTAGCTTTATATGTCAATGAAATGTAAGATTCCTCGGTGGGAAGTTATATAGCTTGTTCTGCACTAGATACAGGTGTATATATATATATACGTATATACGTATATATATATATACACCTGTATCTAGTGCAGAACAAGCTATATAACGTATATATATATACGTATATATATACATAGAGAGAGAGAGATACATATAGATATATATAAATAATTCCAAACAAATGACTGCTTTTCATCTTCAAGGAACCTCTAATATACAAAATTAGACTGTTTTTACCCATATGTATGGTTAAAAGTGCTTCCCAAATGTACATAGCCTACTTCCATAATCTAAAACCAAAAGCCACACAAATGGGTAATAATTTATGTATTTTATGTGAATATTTCTGATATGTCTTTAAACAAATTCAATTGCTATCTAGAAAGGTGTGACACACATGGTACAAATTTCTAAAAACTTGTAAAGTAAAGATCTAAGAACTCTCTAACCTTCAGTTCTGTGCCATTTATATACTGGTTCATTCACTCTGCAAGCTGTTAACTCACTCCTTAACCTCTAAGGCTCCAGGTACTTAGTTTCAGCAGTTCGGAGACCAAAAAGACTAAGGGAGCAGAACTTGTGAGAATTAATCTCCCAGGAAGTTGTTTTGAATCTTGTTACAAATTGATTTAATAAGCTTGTGAGTTAAGTTTTATAATAATTATATAGATATTTAACAAATTTGAATGAAATGTGATTAAGAACTACACTTAACTCTGTAATCTTAATGAAAGGTATTTTTCCACTTATATACAAAAAGAATTCAATAGCCAGCAGCTTTTAAATACAGAAATAGTTCCACCTCTTTTCCCTTTTATAAAGTGCTATTTTTAACTGGGTAGATTTACTACACAGCTTTTCAATAATTTCACTGTACGCCTCTAATAAATTCAAGGAAACACTGGAAAAATTAAAGTCTTTAGTATTAGAAACATATGCAAACATTGCTACAAAGCACAGACTATGAGTGTACTTTATTAGTAAAGTGTACCTTACGTGAGAATCATTGATTTAATAATTACTTCACAGAAGCATAGGCTCACTAACATTTATGCCAATTTTTGCTAGTCATCTAAATCAGAAACAGCTTCTGTAGGCAATTCACTTCTAAGTACCACCAAATCGGGTCTTGTCAAATAGAACCAGTGGTTTTATGATCCCTAGAATTAAAACTCTGGCAAATTTAGACTTTTAGAATAACAAAACAAATTAGTGAGAATCAGAACCAAAGGCAATGTTTTACTTAAAAGTACCATAGGTTAAGTGTTCTCTTTAAATAAAATAATTTTTGTATTAATAATGTACCTTAACACTGAGTGCAATGCTAGAGTTAAGAGGAAACCACACTACAGATTACCTCAAAAATGAATACTGCTTATTTCTTTAGTTCAGTGATTATTGCTGAAATTGTTTTAAAAAAATAGTTGAGCACTACTTACAATATAAACAGGATACCATTTTTATTCACTAAATAGTATTCTCGCTTTTCAACTTTGACCTGACCTTCAGTAGTATTTTAAAAAGTAAATGCAATTAGTAAAAAACAAAAAACCAAGGCAGTATGTAGTTTTGTTCACTTAAAATTTCATTATAACTTGCACTCCTTGTTGCCCTTGGAAGAGTAACCACTTTTAAAAAACAGAAACATAAAAGTGCAATATTCCTTATTTTGCATGGCATCCAATAACTATAAAATCAAAGGAACCCTCAATTATCAATTCTGTACACCCAATTTAAATACATTCCCAATCCTCAGAAACAGGGACTCCATGTCAGAGGGGTGGCACAGGATAAAGAGGCCTAGGGCAGGTTTGATGAAATCACTTGGAAACCTACTTAACCCAGAATGCTAGGGGAATTCCTTCCAGCCATTGCAACTCCCCAGGTTAAGAATGAAGAATTTAGCCTCTTTTCTGGTCTTACTTACTAGCCTACAGTGTGTATTCTATTCCTGAAGACCAATAAACCTAGAATTTTCTAAACGAAATTATTTTTACCCAAATACATTGGATTTCGGCCTCAATTTGAATGAAGATGAGTGACCTTTAAGAGCCCGTTCCTCCTCTTCCTCCTCCCCCTCCTCCAGTGGCTGCTCCGGGTCTCTGAAAGAGGGTGTAGTGTGGATGATCTGGGTCCTGAAGCGGATTTTGTTGAGTCTGGGTTTTATTCGTCCACTAGAGCTGCCGGAGGCCTTGCGACCTGGATCCTTTGCTTTGCCTCCAGCCCATCCCTCAGTCAATTGGTGGTGGTGGTGATGATGATGGTGATGATCCCCTCCATCCTCCAGGACGTGTGAGAGTTTGTAGGTGATGAGGTGTGAAGGGAGCACCTTTGAAAGCCTCCAGCGCCCACCACCGCTGCCAGTGGCACTCTCTCCATCGTCCTCGTCCAGGGCTCCCACCAGGTTCTTGATTTCCTCCGCGATGCTCTGACTCAGGTACTGAGAGGCCTTTTTCCCACTGTAGTCCCTGATGTCCACGTCTGCGTCGTAAGCCCCCACCAGCAACTTCACCACCTCCACGTGCCCGTGCATTGCAGCTAAGTGCAGGGCAGTGTAGCCTCCGCTTGTCCTGGCGTTGATGTTCACTGGCAGCTGGTGTTTGTTAGCGAAGTTGACCAGCATGGCCAGGAGCTCCTGCCTGCCATGCTTGGCGGCCCAGTGCAGGCAGGTGAAGCCGGTGATGAAGTCTCGCTTGGCGAGCAGGCCAGGCTCGCAGGTGAGCAACCCTTCCAGGCTGTCCCACTTGCCGTCTGAGGCTGAGAGCATCCACGCGTGTTCTAGAGGGTCCAGCGTCACCGAACCCCCGCCGCTGCTCTCCTCCTCTGCGGAGGACGAAGCGACCGATGCGCTGTCTGAGTCGCCCCCGCCTTTACCGCGTACTCCCCCAGAGGAGCTCCCCGGGCTGCTCCCTCCTGGACAAACGCTCCTCTTCAGCTGTGGGGAGCTGCCCATCACAAGGTCCCGGAGGTTCTGGCGGGTAGACCTTGGGGTGGCAACCCCCCCGGGGGAGCTGCCCGAGTCCATTTCCCCGCAGCCGTGGGGCGGGGGCGCTAGGTCCTCGCTGGGCCCGGGGACCGGTCCCCGGGGGGGAGTCTGCACGTCTCTCCGCGAGTTTTTCCTCCGGGCCCCGCCGTTGAAGGGCGGCCCATTCCGGCTCTCTCCGGCCGGGCTTGGCTGCCCAAGCGCTGCGGCCCGGGGCTCCCCATCGCTCGGCTCGCAACCCGGACTCGGGGACGCCGCCTCTGGGCACAGGCCGCTCTCCCGGGTCTCGACCAGGCCGTCGGGCGCCCCCAGGGAGCAGCTGCTGGATTCGGGTTCTGCAGTCACCGAGATGCTCGGCAGGTCCCGTGGGGACACGGCTTCGGACGACGTGGCCCCCTCCAAGAACCTCTTTTTAAGGTGCACGTACTTAGAGCCGTCGGCAGGGTCGGTGCGCACCGTGGCTACGGCATTGACCAGCTCCTTGAAAAGGGCGCGGGCGCGGGTACGTTGCTCCGGCTCGCCGCCCAGGGCACCCCTGAAGTGCTGCACCAGCTCGGCGTGCGGGGCCCGACCCCCGCGCTCCGAGAGGAAGCGCAGCACGGCTTCGGGGCTGAGCTCCGCCGACCGTTCCATTCTTGGCCGCGCAGCTCGTCCGGCGGCGGGCAGCTTAACCCGGCCCCATTTCGGCCGGCTTCAAAACGCTGGCTTCTGACCGATGTAGAGTCGAATCGTACTGCGCCTCGGGATTCGCGCCTGGGCGTCCGTGGCGGGAGACGCCACCACCGCCTTACTGGGGCCGCGCCCCGGGAGAACACGCCCCCGCCGGCCCCGCCCCACCGGCTTCACTCCGCCCGAGCCCGCCCACTTCCGGTCCCCGCGGTGGCCGCTAGTTCGCCTCCGGCCCGCCGCCGGCGGGCACGCCCCCTCCCCGCCTCATGGCCCTCCCACTTCCGGCCTTCGCGCGGGCCAGCAATCACTGCACGGGCCAGCAATCACTGCACGTACCCGCGGCTCCCCGCTGGCGGAGGAGATTTGTTTCCTCGCATCTTCTCCCGAACCTCCTCCAGTCACCCTCCCCCTGCATGGATTTGTCGTTCTCTGAGACGTCGAGGGGCACTCTTCTGAGAAACTCGCTTCGCGCGCGCAACGATTTTGTGCGGCTAATGGCGCGCGCTCTGCCTCGTGGGGCCTCCGCCCTCGCGCTCCGTGCCCTCGCGTCACTGAGGCCACTTGGCTTGGCTCCTCCCCTTTTCCTGGACGCTCCCCCCAATAATACCGCCCCCTCCCCCAGCGGAGGCTGGCCCCGCCCGTTTTACCCGCCTCCGGCCTGTGCCCCGCGCGTTCCACCCTTCCCGGCCCCACTTTGCTCGTTTCGGGGTCTGGACGCTCTGATCAGGGCCCGGGGCTGAGACCCCCTGCTTCGCTGGGACCCCCCCGCCCCCGCCTTCGTTCAGCTCTTGCTCGGGACCATGACCTCTGAGGTGGCGCGGCACCTGGTGAGTCTCGGTCGATCCCTCACGCCCCCTCTGCTGCCCAGCACTGCCTGCTTCCCCAGGGTCCGACTCCCAGGACCCCCGCCCCGCGTTTCCCGGGGTCACAGCGTAATTTCCTCAGCGCGGGGCTCGGAGCTCGCAGCCCAGTCCCGGCCGCGGCCAGTCCAGGCGGGAATTGTGAGCCCCACCCTCAGCCGCTACTGCCCACTCTCCTGGTCCTCCCCGGGCTCCCGCAGCCGGCTGGTCCGATGCGGCTGGGGAGGAGGGGTTCTCTTTCTCCTGCGGTAGCGCGGGAGACGCCGGGCGGGGCCGTCCCTCGCCCCCAGAAGCGGGGTCCGGGGCGGACCCCCACAGCTCGCCGAGAGCGCGGTGCTGGAGTGGCTGGAAGTTTTGCAACTGCTTCCCTGTCTCAACCAAAGTTAAATCTGAAACAGTGATTGTGGGTCCATCATTTTCATAACGGTTTTGGACGTGCGGAGCGGATCAGTCCAACAGTAGTGTAGTAGTTTACGGTTGTACACTCTTTCCTGACCATACTCACTGGAGCCCAGCTTTCTTGGACTTTGAAGAAGCTCCCTCTTTTTACCAACTGTGCGCTTGTCCTAGTTGTCCTCCATTAGGATTTGAGCTTTTTTTTTCTTTTTTGGCTTGGCAGCCTTGAACATAAAAGAATGTATGTTTTGTTCAATGATTTGTTCAATGTTTTATACTTTTAAAATCACTTAAATATTTACCTCATTTGATTGTAAGCCAGTGGTTCTCAAAGTGTGGTCACAGTTATTTTCATAACAATACCCAGGAGTTATTTGCCTTTTCACCCTCTTTCTGAGTATACATTGAGTTTCCCAGAGACTATGTGAGGTGGGATGACCTCACCTTTCTGAAGCCTAATGTGTGTACCTTTTAAAAAAGTTCTTTTAATTACTAATACTGTAAATATTAATGGTTGTAATCCAGGTAAGTGAAAGCTCTTTGGGGGCCTGAGACCGGGGCGTTTGGGAACTACTGGTCTAAGCAGTCTTCTGAGTTAGATAGTAGGAACAGACTTCAGATTGTAGCCTTAGAGGTAAGGTGATGTGTGGAAGTTATACAGCCAGCTTCTTTGATAGAGCCTGGATAAGGATTTTTCTCCCTGATACAGCCCAAGATCTCTCTGCACTTTTATTACGTGTTCAGAGAACTCTGTTTTTCTGTCTGAACTGTGTTGCCGTTCCTTGGTGTGGGTATATAGATGAGGAAAATGTGTTTTATAAACTGATTCAGAATGATCTTCAGAATTAAACTTGAGCTGAAGAGAGCACTTTATTTAATTGGTATTGTATTTCTTGTGAGTTCGTGTATTTATTTTGCAATAATGCTACCTTTATTTTCTAATTAAACCTTTTATTTTGAGGTAATTGAGGATTCAGATGTAATCGTGCAGCTGGTAAATAATAGAAATCCCCTGTACTGTTTATCCAGTTTTCTTCAGTAATAACATCTTGCAAAACTATAGTACAAGACCACAACCAGGGCATTGCCATTGATATTGAGAATATAGAGAACTTGCCATCACCACAGGATCCCTCAGGTATAGAAATGAAGAAATGGACACATTTATACCACATCCACTTCATTTCTATACCACTTCCACCTTAACCCCTGACAACCACTAATCTGTTTTTTGTTTCTATACTTTTCTCATTTCAAGACTGCTATATAACAGAATCACAGGGTACCTAACCTTTTTGGATTGGATTTTTTTCATAGAGCAAAATTCTCTGGAGATTTCATCCAGGTGGTTGCATGTCATTAGTTTGCGTCTTTTAATTGCTGAGTAGTATTCAGTGGTATGATGTATCACACTTTGAGGAACACTTAGTTGTTTCCATTGTTGGGCTACTATGAATAATGTTGCTATAAACATTGCAGTACAGTAACATGTCATGTAATATAAGTCTTAATTTCTCTGGGATAAATGCCCAGGAGTATAGTTGCTGGTTCACATGGCGGTTGCATGTTTATTAGGTTTTTTTGTTTTTGTTTTTGTTTTTAAGATTTTATTTGTTAGAGAGAGAGAGAGAGAGAGCAGGGAGAGCAGCAGACAGAGGGAGAAGCAGGCTCCCTGCTGAGCAAGGAGCCTGATGCCAGACTCCATCCCAGGCCCTGGGATCATGACCTGAGCTGAAGGCAGACACTTAACTGCTTGAGCCACCCACTGTCCTGCATGCTTAGTTTTGATGAGAAACTGTTAAAACTGCTTTCCATGGGGCGCCTGGGTGGCTCAGTGGGTTAAAGCCTCTGCCTTCGGCTCAGGTCATGATCCCAGGGTCCTGGGATAGAGCCCCACATCAGGCTCTCTGCTTGGCAGGGAGCCTGCTTCCTCCTCTCTGCCTGCTTCTCTGCCTACTTGTGATCTCTGTCTGTCAAATAAATAAATAAATAAATAAATAAAAATCTTTAAAAAAAAAAAACAAAACTGCTTTCCAGAATTTCTGCACCATTTTACATTCCCACCAGCAATGTATGTGGGGTCAGTCTCCCCACATCCCCATCAGCATTTAGTGTTCCTATTTTTTATTTAGACATTTTGGTAGATATGTATAGATATGTATTATGTATTATGCAGGTATCTGGTTTTAATTTAATTTGTGTTTGCATGATGGTTAATGATGTTTAGCATCTTTTCATGGGCTTATTTATTATCTGCATGTCCTCTTCAATGAAATGTCTCATTTCTTTTTTTTCCTTTTTTTTTTTTATGACGTTCAGTTAGCCAACATATTAGTTTTAGTTCATTAGTTTTTGATGTAGTGTTCAACAATTCATTAGTTGCCTGTAACACCTACTGCTCTTCACAGCACATGTCTCTTCATTTCTTTAGCCCATTTGCTAACTGGATTTTTTTACTGTTGATTTTAGAGGTTTTTTTTTTCCTTTGTTAGATATATGTCTGGTGCCTGTCCTTTCTTGACATGTAGTTTGCAAATCTTTTCTCTCAGCCTATTGCTTTTTTTCTTGTCCTCTTAAAAGATTCCTTTGCAGAGCAAACGTTTTTAGTTTTGATGAAATCCATTTTAACAATTTTTCCTCCAATGGATTATTCTTTTGGTGTGAAGTTATAGAACTCTGCCTAATCCTAGATCCCAAACGTTTTCTCATCTTTTTCCTAAAAGTTTTAAAGTTTATTATTTTACATTTAAGCCCATGACCCATTTTTTTTTAAGATTTTATTTATTTATTTGACAGACAGAGATCACAAGTAGGCAGAGAGGCAGGCAGAGAGAGAGAGAGAGGAGGAAGCAGGCTCCCCGCTGAGCAGAGAGAGCGATGCAGAGCTCAATCCCAGGACCGTGGGATCATGACCTGAGCTGAAGGCAGAGGCTTTAACCCACTGAGCCACCCAGGTGCCCCATGACCCATTTTTTAAAAAGATTTTATTTATTTATTTTACAGAGAGAGTGTGAACAGAGGAAGGGGCAGAGGGAGAGGGAAGGAGAAATCTCAAGCAGGACTCCTTGCTGAGGGTAGAGCCCGCTGCAAGGCTCCATTTCAGGACCCTGAGATCATGACCTGAGCTGAAATCGAGTTGGATTCTTAACTGAGTGAGCCACTGAGGAGTTCCAAGCCCATGACCTGTTTTGAGTTAATTTTTGTGTAAGGTGTAAAACTTAGATCGTGTCATTTTTTGACTTATGGTTGCTTATCTAACACCATTTGTTAAAAATGCTATCTATTCTTTATTGAATTGCTTTTGCTCTTTGTCAAAAAGCCGTTGAGTATATTTGTGTGGATCTATTTCTGGGTCACTACTAGCACACAGTCTTGATTCTTGTAGCTATATAAGCCTTAAAATAGAGTAGACTGATACCTCTCACTTTGTTCTTCTTTTTTTTCTTTTCTTTTTGAAGATTTTAAAATTTATTTTATTTATTTGAAAGAGATCTATCTCCGAGCAGGGAACCTGATGCGGGGCTCCGTCCCAGGACCCTGGGATCATGACCTGAGCCAAAGGCAGATGCTTAGTCAACTAAGCCACCCAGGCGCCCCTATTCTTGTTTTTTTCAAAAATTATTTTGGTTATTCTAGTATCTTTGCCTTTCATTATAAATTTTAGAATAGTCTGGTCTATATCTACAAAGAATTTTGTTTGGATTTTGATAGGGATTACATTATATCTGTGTATCAATTTAAGGATAATTGAAATCTCTAGTATGTTGAGTCTTCCAACTTGCAGACATGGTATCTCTTTCCATTTCTTTCTTTCTTTCTTTTTTTTTTTTAAAGATTTTATTTATTTATTTGACAGAGATCACAAGCAGGCAGAGAGGCAGGCAGAGAGAGAGGAGGAAACAGGCTCCCCGCTGAGCAGAGAG